AAAACCTGTTCATAAAGTACAATCCCTGTATTGAAAGCTTCTCTTTCAATTCCTAGATTTCATTTTTTTTCCAGCTTAGTTTTTGTTTCCTATCAAGATTACTACTCACTGCCTTTACTTCAGCAAAAAGTCCTTGGTCCTGACCTATAAGGTATTGTGAAACCATCCAGAGCTGTGTATAGGTGTCTTGAAGCTTTACAGTTTTGAAAACTGACACAGGCCTGAATTCTGCATTGTGACTCATTCCATGAAGTCCGTGGCTATTTTGTAAGCATAGAAGGCTCAGGTTTTATGAAGAGATTTTAATCAGTGTACATAGTTCCCATCTTGAGGCTCTACTGCTGTAGATACATCCCACTGTCAAAGTCCTACTCCTGAGGGAATTCTGCGCCAAAAAATTATATGTTCTATGCACAATATTTTAAAATTCTGCATATTTTTTATCAAAATATCACAGTATAATCACACCATTTTCAATTATTTGCTGGCAAGTATTTTTAAATAAATTACCAAAATAATTGAAATGATGTGATTATATTATATTTGTGTTGTTTTGACAATTAAAATATGCAGAACTTTGCAGAATTTTAATTTAAAAAAAAAAATTTGGTGCAGAATTCTCTCGGAGAACCAGGGTTATGTGTGGTGCAGTCTGGGTGCAGACAGCTTGGTGGAGGGTCTGGGTGCAGGGGGGAATCTGGATGCACAGGGGCTCAGTGCGGGGTTCTGGGTGCAGGGGAGGGGATGAGATTCTGCAGGGGAGTCCAGGTGAAGGTGGTTAGGGCTCAGTGGGGGGAAGGGATGGGGAGTGGGACTCGATAGGGTGGGGGTTAGAGTGCAGCTGGTTGGGGCTCAGTGGGGTAGGGGTTTGGGTGGGGAGAGGCTCCTGATGCAGGAAATGAGGCTTGGCAGGGTGAGGGCTTGGGGGGTTCTGGGTGCTGGGGGGGGCTCTGATACGATGGGGGGGGCGGTTCCAGGTGGGAGGGGTCACTGTACAGGGAACTGCTCTCCCTGTCTGCCCAATCCCTGTGCATCCGGATCTCTCTCTCTCTCTCTCTCCCCCCCCGCCCCCCATGCTGAGCCTCGACACCTGCACCTGAAACCCAGAGCCACCGCACAGAGCTTCCTGCTGCCAGGGGAAGTTTCTGGGGCTTGATTTGACCTAGCCCTGGCTGCTCCATGCAGGGAAGGGGGAGAGGGGACTCCGTCTCTTCTCCTCCCCCCCACGAACTAATGTCCCTGTGCAACCGGGGCATCCCCAGACCCCCCCCAGGGTGACCAGATGTCCCAATTTTAAAGGAATAGTCCTGATATTTGGGACGCTTTTTTTTTTTTTTTAATATGGGCTCCTATTACCCCCCCACCCCCATCCCGATTTTTCACACTTGCTATCTGGTCATCCTACTTCCCCCCCCCCTCCCCCCCAGTGATTTACCTCTTCTGCATGTACACACGCACGCAGAATCCCCAACAGACAGGTCTGAGCTGGGAGGGGTGAAGAGAGTGAGCACTTGTGCAGCTTCTCTTTGCTTCTCCACAGAAACCATTTTCTGCAAGGAAGCAAAGGGAATCTGTGGGAGGGGGGGATGTTTTTCTGCCACGCTGCAGGGGCACAGAATTTCCACAGGAGTAAAGTCCAGATAACTTGCTCTTTTAAATCAATCTGTAAATCGTTTTGCTAAACTAAGTGTATCAACATCTGAAATGCTTAGCTAGTGTGGCTATTTGCTTATTTTATAACCTGACTTTACTCATTAGTTTGGATTTTCACTGACCAAAAATGAATGCTGTGAAAAATTAGTGTAATGCTGATATAAAGTAAGAAAAATGACTTCTCTGTTCCTTAAGAAATAGCCAAGATAAAATTTAAAATCTCCAACCAGGTTGGGCTCACAGGCATAAGGAAGGAAGTCTCATGGATTCTGCTGGCAGGAAATACAATTCTGTGACAAGTGGTATTTTAGAACATAAGCTTTCATTTGCTGTTTCTAGCCTTATGGTTGCAGGGAATCTTAAACACTAACAGAAGATTCGGGCTTCTTGAATCTTCAGGCAGTCTGACAGCAATTCTGAAGTATAAATTGCTCCAGTCACTACAGTGAAACTAATTCAAACCTCAAGATGGCAATTAAATGTTGACAGCTTACTATCTGAGAAATATCCAGCTAGAATGGTGTTCGCAATCATGGACTCCCTTTTGCTCCTTTCTCAGATGTCATATCTCAACACCACCTCAAATAACTGCCAAACTCCAGCTTTTCCCTAGAAAAAAATTCAGTGCCTAATTATCTTAGTACAAAAACTTTGAGCAAGATGAAATCTTAGGGACAGCATAAAACTGACCAGCTAGTACAGTATGTATATTCTGTGTCTTGAGATCTGTATTCACATTCATTTAGATAATGAAATTTCATGAGTTAAAAGTGAAACTACTGCAGAAGTTGACACTGCGTATCCCAGGGCTTGATGGCTAAGTTGTTTTGCAGTTGTAGTCTAGCCACTCCAATAATGAGAAGATGGCATTGAGATAAGGAAGGAACTGAAGTCTTTTTTTCACACATTGTATAATCTTTTTGGCAAGTGTTTAAGTCTTTTGGTTACAACATGCTAACTACTATTCCACTAGTGAAAAAGAAGATGATGAAGGTGAAAAGAGAGAAGAACCAGGTGACAACTGGGAGGAGGCTGGTGGTGGTGTAGAGAGAGCATCTGGTCCTTGGAACAAGACAGCTCCTATGCAAGCACCTGTTGCTGAAACTATTGGTAAGTTTTTCTTGTCTTTTTCACTGGCCTGTAAAGGCATACCAATTTTAAATCCAACTCTTAAGAAGTTGAGATAAGTCTCCAGTATTACTCCTGCTCCCAGAGCTCCCTGTCAATGTTTGTAGTACTAAACTCTCAGGGGTAGGCAACCTATGGCATGCGTGCCAAAGGCAGCACTCAAGCTGATTTTCAGTGGCACTTACACTGCCTGGGTCCTGGCCACCGGTCCAGAGGGCGCTGCATTTTAATTTAATTTTTAAATGAAGCTTCTTAAACATTTTAAAAACCTAATTTACTTTGCATACAACAATATTTTAGTTATATATTATAGACTTATTGAAAGAGACCTTCTAAAAATGTTAAAATGTATTACTGGCATGCGCAACCTTAAATCAGAGTGAATAAATGAAGACTCGGCACACCACTTCTGAAAGGCTGCCGACCCCTGGAGTAGATTGTACTGCCAAAGGTATAAAATAAAAAAATAGTTTTCTAATTTAAGATATGGTAATCTTGAGTGTTGTGATAGGAGTTAATCTTTTAGACAGAAACCTTTACATTAATAGGGTCTCCAAAAACTGAAGTGTAGATCAGTTTTAAACTTGTATCTTACGATACATCTTCATAAATATAGCTAATTTAACTTCCCAATGGAATATAGACTAAATTAAATACCTTTCAGGAGTGGTATGGGAGAAAATAACATCCAATTGGTATAGTTTGCAAACTTAAGCTTAGTTTCCTCATTTGATCTGTTTTTCCCCCCTCCCCATACCTGAAATACTGCCATGATCATTCATAATAACATAGTAAATGAGCAGAAATATTTGTTGTCATTATCTGACATTTAATGTAATGATTCTCAAACAAGATTCAATAACTAGTACATCTGTATAAACATCTACAGTCCTTCACTCTTCCTGATTTATATCATGGTGAAAGGATTGTCGTCTGTTTTGGTTGGGGGGAGCCTTTAAATGTAGTCTGTGTCCAAAATGACTTAGATTTGTTAGTGGACGTAGCAGACTATCATAAATAGTCTCTTGCTTTCTCAGCACACTTCTCATTTGAGGTATGGGGAGGAAGATTTGAGTTGCCATTGGCACTGCCTTGCCTCAACTTTTGACAGCTTCTTGCTTTTTTGTACAAGCAGAATTCTAAATGTAGTGCTAGAAATGTGACACAACTATGAAGGGATGCAGAAGGAAACTATTGCTTCTTTCTGAGCCAACTTCCCTTTTCATCCTTCCATGTGTAAATTACCACAGTGGTTACAATTCATGATCCAACTCAGTTTGGACAAGCAACCTACTGGAGTATGTGACAATTGGCCAACTATGCATGGCAGAACCAATGTTCATTATAAAGGACTCTGTCTGAGTTTAGAAATTCTGTAAATTAAAACCTATAGTGCTCTTTGTTGGCATGTACCCAAGTGTTTAAGCAGACTTCAGATGGAGGCATGGAAAGAGAAATGGATGACTAGAGGATAAACTCCTGTTTGACTCAGTCAGATCTTTTGCAGCACTTCCATCAGAAGTTTTAAGCCAAAACCATATAGCTGTCTCAATGTGGAGAGCAACCAGTTCCCTTGAGCCTTTAAGTATACCTTGAATAGATTAAGAAGGCTTTACCAGAGGACACAAGATAGTCACCCTTGAGTGTAACCAGCAGAGTTGCTGTGGATTTAAGGGTAGTAGGGGTACCTAACTCAAGCTCAGTTTTATTAACCTAAATGTGTAACTCAACCCTTAATCCGATATCCCTACTTCATTGATGCTGTTTCTCCTAGGCCCCTGATAACCTGCAGAACAGCTGAAAGGTCATAAACTGACTGCATCTAAAAACTCTTAAACAAATACATTACTAAATGGCATCTTAAATACAAAAAGCTAAATTATGCTTTTATTTTATGACTGATCTTATAATAAACCCTGCTTTTGGTTATCAGGAAAATTTAAAACTCTTAAGATTCTTACAGTGGGATGTAAGAGCTCTTGGAATTGGAAAAATCTAGTTAAACTTAATGATGGTGGGGCACTTGATCTAGCAATGTCATGCAAGTGTATTCTTCCCTCCTTTACAAGTTTGCAATAGATTACATTTCATTATTTGTTAGCAAATACTTCAGTCTGCTTTGAGGCCATAGGTAGTTTCTTTGAACTAAATTTGGAAAATATGGGGAATACAACAACTTAAAATTTAGCTATTACTCTCAAGTTCTGTCCAGTGGCTTTTACCACCTGTGACTACGTGGTGCTGTTGTAAAACTGCACTTTAATTTAAAAAGGTCTAGTAATTAGTTGGATAATCTTGAACACTGTCACTAATGAACCGAAACTAAGATCTTAGGTATTAGATCAACTCTTAGGTTAGAATATCTGACCATTGGAAGCAGATAACAAAATAGGGCCCAAAGCCAGAGTTTAAAAATAAGGCTATACACTTTTTTATTTTGTCTAAAACTCTGCTAATAAATTCTTAGTTACAGAAACCCCTGAACCAGTGCAATCCAGTGGTGTATACCGACCGCCTGGTGCTAGAGAGACCAGGACACGGAAAGCACCACAAGGACCACCAGAGATCTATAGTGATACACAGTTTCCATCATTGCAATCCACTGCCAAGCATGCAGATAGCCGAAAGTAAGTATATTTAATCAGTTCCTCTAAGATGCCTATTTAAAATGCTTTCCCATCAGAGTCCTAACTCCTTATTTGGTGTCAGATCTTGATCTTTCCACAGAGGTCAATAAATAGCAGAAATGATTATCTGATGGGATTGGGGTCTGAATTTTATCATTCCCCTTTATGGAGACCCCCACCCCTCCCCAATGCATCTCAAAGGTCTGAGGAGTGGGAGTTCTCTTAATGAGGAGAGGGCCAGACTAGGTGATTACCACTCTCTTTGGCCACCTAATCCCTACGTTCAGGGATTTCCTTAAATAAAACGCTGCTGATCTTGACAGTATCGAGTTCCTTTCCATGTTAACCAGTGCTCTGTGGCAGCTGTCAGCAGGGAAGTAATAGCAACATGCTGCTTGAGCAGAGCTGTGTTATGGGCAACTTCAAAAGGTGTTGTGTGGAGCAAAGGGAGGAATATTGTAGACAGTGTTTCTGCAGTTATTACATTTAACTGTGAGTTTGGAGGGCCCCGAGTGACGTTAAGGAGACTCCAAAGTGACATTGCCTGAGTTTCCTATCCCTCCCATAGACTCCTTCCCTGCTGAAGGGTTAAATAGACCTCTAACTCATCTGCTCTTATCACTTCTTGATGTGGCATTGATTGGTACAGCACAGTCGCATAAGCTTGCTTTCTGGTCTAGTTTGGTGTCTGCCAATTGAACAAGCAGTGTTATCAAAGATGTCTTGGCTTTTCTAGGACATGAGCAGTGTTACTCTTAAAGACCAGCATGAGAAATTTTGAATTATACTTGAGTAACATACTAACTGCAACACAACTCTTTCCATATCTTCTACATGACTGTTGGTTGTTTCATGTTGCAATGTTCAGACCTCACTGGGAGGGGAATGGGTCTCTATTTTTTTATCACCTTTGAGAGAAATGCTATAGCATGATTTGAAAGTGTTAACCATATGTATTGCATTATACAGTATACCATATTGGAATGGATTTATGGAAATGAAGCCAACAATGTAATCTGAACAAATAGCACAGAAAGGGCAAGAGGTCTACTCTAGAAATAGTCTATGCAACCTTCTGTTCTCTTGGGGAATGCATGGATATCCTGTGGAATCCAACCCACTCACTTTACTCTGCATTTGTAGTGTAACTTTCTAATTTTGGTGGTTTTGGGGTGGAAATTGGCTAGGAATTTCACAATTCAGAAGCTAGTGAATAAGACAATTACTGACTACATTTATTTTCCCTTAGGGATAAAGAAATGGAGAAGAGCTTTGAAGTAGTAAGACACAAAAATAGAGGTAGGGATGAGGTCTCAAAAAACCAGGCACTTAAACTTCAGCTAGACAACCAATATGCTGTGCTTGGGGATCAGTAGAGCTGCATACACATTACAATTAAGGAATGCTTTTTTGGTAACCCTCCTACTAAGGTAACTAAACTACAGCTAACGACTATGATGAACATACCATCTTATTTCTGCTGGATCTGCTGCGGCAAGTGCAGACTACTTTGACATAAGTGATTGCTCTCGCACTATGGAAGCATAATGTGTTACAACTTTCTTCTCCATTGGATTTGGGGGAAATTAATGTAAATGGTTGAACAAGATTCATCAGTGTTCTTTAATTACTCTGAAAAAGTATCTACAGTCAGTGGTCATTTCAAAATCTTTTTATGTTCAGATACTGAGCCTTCGTAAGGGTTGACTACCTCAGACTTGCTGCACTCATTGTGGACACCATGTGGATCACAACTTCTGGAAAAGAAGGTTACAACTGTTGTAGTGGCCATCTGAAACTTGAAACCAGCTTCTCTACTGGGTTCCTGTCAGAAATCCTGCAGAAGTCAGCCATTTGGTTCTGATTTGCTATAAATAACAAAGATTTAAGTGACCTTAATGAGAAACCTGTCTGGTGTCCCATCCTGAGGAATCCTTTCATATGTAGCCATAGCCTACTAGAGACTTTCTGGAGCATACCACTTTCAAAAACTATCAAAGTATAGTACCAAGCTGTAGTTTGTTTACCTTTTTAGATAGAGCTGTACTGAGGTAACCGCAAAACAAAACTCATTCCAATACAAAATTGGAGGGTGTATGGGGTGGGGATTGATTGGGCTGTTTGCATTAGCCATTTTCACAGTTGTGTTCAAGTGTTTTCTTTGTTCTTCTACCAAAAAATGCCTTCCCCGTTTCTGGTATAAAATTGCAGTATACTCGAGTAAAAATGTGAAATATGTTAATAGTGATAAGTTTATCTTGGTTTTCATAATTGGGTCGCTTCTTTTCTCTGAGGGACTAGGACTTCAGTAGGCTTTGATTTGGTACACAGCAGAAGCCTGTGCTCCCACTCTAGTCTTCAGAACATAATTTCAAAAAATACATGCAGTATACAGGGCAGTAGTAATATTAACCTCAAGATAAGTTTTTCTGTTGTAGCAAAAGTAACAGCTGTCTCCAACCAATCCTATCGTATATGGATAAGCTGGTATAAGACTCTGAAGGAAGGATAACATCAAACCTAGTGAGATTTCATTTGTTATGGCTGCTTCAGATCACCATGTGAGCTTGCAAACAGTTCCAGGCAGAAATCCTCACTTTAAATGGCATTTTCTCAACTGCAGGAAGCCTAGTGACAATGGAAGGAGTGACAGCTTTGTTCAATTTTTGGCCAGCTCTATTGACTTAATTTAGTGGAGATAAATACAATGGCATGTGTATGCTAAAGCTATAGGATAAATAATACCCAGTTGCTTCTATACAATGAAAGAGAATCTGACAACCACCCAAACTCCCCCCGGGCATACCATCTGTCTTTCCCCTTGCTTTGTTTAGTTTGTTTTTAGTATGCTAGTTGAGTGAGTAAGCACCTCTTTCCAAATCTAGGTTTCTCCCTGTAAATGTGAATGCCAAAAGGAGGAGCTGCAGACTTATTCCCTTGTCCACTTCATACTTGTCAATGGCAAAACAATCTTACTGATGTGGTAGTACTTTATGTATTGGAGACCAGGCTTGGTGGCTCATGCAGAAATTACGTGGTTAGTTTCCTTTGATTTAATTGCTGATGCTCTAAAGTCTATTTCCTTTGAAGTCTGTAAGAATCTTGCTGTTGACTTCAGTGGGATCAGGGCTTGCCCCGGTTCTCACAATGTGCTTGGTATAGAACTGGCCTTAAAGCCCTTGTAGAGTTAACTTTCTCAGTAAAATTTCCAAACTAGCAGCTATGATTAGATAGACTGATCAAAAGACAAATTAAAAAACCTGAAGACTTTATTTTGAGACTCAAAACCACTAAAAGTAGATTTACATGGTTCAGAGTCCAACAGTATTAATGTATCTTCCCTGAAAGAATATCTGTGCCAACAAAACATTTGTTGGTTTATGTCACTAAAAGTTTAAGATCGTCCTATTTGCAGTAAAAGTGTCACTCAATCACATGGTAGAAACCTGAAATACTAAATCCCAACTTTGTTCTGACATTTTAAAGGAGGATATTGGAATTGTTAATGCACATGAATCAAGTTTTTAATATACTGTATGATGGGTAGATGAGGCTGTCCATTGTACCTTTATTTGAATTCTCAGGCATGGTTTTGGCAATGCAAGAAAACCTGTAACATTAATAAATCTAATAAAGTGGAAATATACATGGATCCTGGAGTCAAATGTATCTTTACCTGTAGTCCCAGCCTACACCATGCAGCATTTAAATAGAGGATAGCTTTGGGACATAATGGAGGTGTGCAGTCATTAAGTTCAAATCCAGGTCAGACGAGCCAAAGTTAACAGCTCATGGCAATGTTTGGTACTACATAGCCTTCATATAGTGTGGTAGCTGGACTGGGGCCTCTGGATAGTATCTAATTCAAATCACCATCTGTTTTTAGCCCTAAGTGGCATTCTCAGCAGTGTCCATAGACTGAAAGGACACAAAAAATGGACTAAGTCTTCACCTTAAAGGTGGGTCCTCTTCTTTGGAGTTTACTACTCCCTATTCAGTGGATGGAAGGAGGTTTTTAAGACTACTCGTGAAAAGTCACACTTTCTTAAACACAATACATGTCATTCTAAGTTCTTGCTAGAATATCTTCACAAAACAAGGCATCTGGAATTTTTGTAGGGACTTTTCTGATTAAGCAGTCCATTTAGGGAGTTTAACAAAATCCAAATAAAGGCATGTAACTTTATTTTTTTGTTAAAGGATGATATTTAGCACCTTACTGCAATAAAACAAATATTATTTTGAATCACACTCCTTGCAGATGTAAAAATGACCTAAAAGTACAATGACCTGTCTGAAATGAGGTTTGGATTTATATGGCTGCTATATTCCACTTTAATTAAACATGATGATAAATGTCATTTGAAAATTATGCATGAGCTCTGAAGCCTTATTTTAAAATGAAGAAAATTCTCACCTTTACAGCAGAAGTATAGTCAATATCAGTCAGTGGTATCTAGTTCTATGCAACTTCAAATGACTTTACTTGTGTAAACACTCATGTGGATAACATACAGATTTATGATGTAAAAGAGCATTTACCTCAATGCGTGTCTTATGCAGAAGAGAGATGACTCACAATTAAAAAGCCATTAGTATAAGAGAGCGTCCAATTACACTAAAATTGGTGCACAAGGGAATAGTTTAGATTTGAGTTTTTGATGGCAGCCTAAGTTTTATGGTGAATGATAAAATTGCTAAAACTGGAAAAACTTTAGGAGGTGTGGGGAGGGAGAATGTGCTTATACTATCTCCTGGGGCTTTCTCCAAAATAGGATTTCCAGAACCTCAGCTACAGGAATATTGGCATGTACGCTAATTAGTTATATCAGAAAGATGTAGAGCAGAGTTGCTATTTAATTCAACTCTGTTACTCTAGACTTGTCTTGCTTAGTCTCAATCCAAAAGTAATGAAGCAATAGCTAAATAGCTGCCATGCATGGTATTTGATTTCTACTACTTTTTTGTAGCTAGCTTTATCAAACTTATCCAGGGGAAACTGTCATAACTTTTTTAAAAATCTATTTTTAAATCATTCTTTTAAGTCTTCTCTAGGGTTCTCTGACTTCATGGAGGCTCATTTCATATCTGAATGTGTGGCCTTTGGTTTGTGGAAACTACTACACTTCCATATGCTAAAATTTTTAACCCATCTGATTTCCTTGGTCTGCTCTGAATTTAACAGCAACAAAGATGGCAAGACTCCTGGAGGGGAGTTTGTTTACTCTTGCTATGAAAGTCAGCATCTCTTAAACACACAGAGGAATTCTGTAGTTATGACTCTTTGCCTAAGTGCCAAAACTCGATGATAGTCAAGTCTTTCCTTGACATAACACAATTTCAGGTAACATAAACATGCTGCTAATTACACTCTCAATAGCCTATATCCCTTTACCTCCTCAGTAGTGTGAGCTATTCAAAGAAATGTACTTCAGAAAATACACCTCTCTGCTTGATATGTATGATGATCCTGCTGATTTAAAAAATAAAACCAGATGTCTTTGGCCCTTAGCAAAAGTTTTTTTTTTCCCCCCTCCCCCCGGAGCACAAAAAAGAAGCATCTTCATTCTCTTGTGCAGACCTGTTGTAAGTCTAGCTAACTGCAGGATGCTCAATCTGTTTTTCCTAAATAGACTTCTAAGGTAAGACTGGGTATGGGCATTTTCATTCTAAACTCTGTTTTTGCTGAATCAGGGTTTAAGTGAGATGGTGGTAGAAAACATGCTTGTAAAATTTTAGTAATCTAAAACAGCTGTGTCTGGCACAATACTCTATAGTAAAAACTGAAAAACATAGTGTTCTGTGTAGAGTTGAGTAAAAACTTTCATGGAAAATATAAGTAGAAGTTAAAAATCAAAGATCCAAGTTTAGAAGGGGAGGTGTTAGATTGGGTCAGCTTGAGATAGGGAAAGGATATTCAGTTTATATTTAGATGTAAAAACTTGAGCAGAAGACACCACTCAGATACAAATTTTATATATAATATAAAGTCTTCAATGTTAGTTTGGATAGAAAAGAGGTACTGCTTATTAAGGAAGTAACTGTTTCTCAAGCACTAATGTAGCTGTTGTATATTCAGTTTCAGACACAATGATACAGGAACAATTTGAAAAGGGGAGGGAACAAAAATAAGGCCTGTAAGTAATGGTTAAAGTGTTGTGTACAGGATAGAAGAAGGAGGTTGTGTTGGAGGAAAAATGCAATAGCTTCCGTGCTGAAGAATGCTATAGAGATGAAGAGGAGCAGTTCTTGTTGGTCAAAGGTGACCTACACCTACCAATTTAAATTGAAGCAACGAAAGTTTGAAAATCAAGAGTGAAGGAAAGCCTCAGAATGCAAAAAAATACATATTGGGAAATGGCCTTTGGTGAGGTTGTGGAATTGTCATCTGTACAAATCTTACAATCAAGTCTCTAAACTACCACACCTGTTTTCAGTAAATTAGGATAGTGCCAAGTTGCAGGATCCATTTATCTTGAATGAAACAATAAAATAAACTGTAAGATCTAATTAAAACAAAAATAATTTCCCCCTCCAACTACTTAAATAAAAATTGTGACACTGATCCAAACTGTTGTGAAGATATCCATGTGTATTTCCTTTTTTATGAAGCAGTTTCTAATAGTATGTTGATTAAATTTTTATATGCAATTGCTCAGGTACAGTATACTATATATCAAGCTTAGTGAAGTTTCAGTGGGCCGCCTAACTAGAATATGGATACTCAAGGTGGTGTACCAAAGTATTAAGTCCTCAGAAAAAGAGTGGCACATCTAGGAAATCTGACATGGAAGATGTGGTCCAAAAACAAGCAAGAACAAGAGGAAGAATGGTCAATAGAAGTTAAGGCACAGGTCTAAGAAACAAATCTGGGTTCTATTCTCAGTTCTTTCACTGACATGCTGTGGAACCTTAGGCAAATAATTTAACTTCACTGTTCCTCAGTTTTCCCAGCTGTAAAACAGGTCACATTTCCCTACCTCACAGGGGTGTTGTGAGGCTTAATCCATTCTTTGTAAAGTGCTTTGAGACCATTTGATGGAAGGTGCTATAGTGTGCAGAGTATACAAATGAATTAGTCCAGTGCTGTTGGTTGTTTCAGTTATAATAAAAAGATATCTGGATTAGTTTTCAGTACAGTAGTTCAATACTACTTTAGGGAAAGCTTATATCTATGAAATGTAATATACATTCTATTATATTTAAGTATTATGGGATCATGTAACTACAAACTTATAATCCATACATTCAAGGGGCATAGTTAAGGTTGTGCATTCAACCTTTAATTGGCGTTTCCTGATTTTGTGTGATTAACTATGCAACCCTAACATTGTATTAACATAAGTTGTTTTGTTTTTTGCATGGAATATATTTAAAATCAGTTTTGTCATTTTATAAACTCCATGATGGAAATAAACTTCTGTTCACATTGTTGTTTAATACCCATCTTTTACAATTTACAGTTTTAAGAGTTTTATTTAAATGTGAACTAGGAATGTTCACTGATGATACAAGTGTATTCACGGAGCATTTACTCGTAATGCGAGTTGGTTGCTTATAAGAGGAGGTGCTCTTCTTTCCCCTCTCCTTTTTCCTCCATTATTGATCTTTCTTCTGCTTATGTATATTGCCATAATAGCCAAATGCCCATTTATGCTAGGTACTGTGGAAACACATAAGAAGGCCTAGTTCCTGCCCTGAAAAACTTACAAACTGATTTAAGACAAGAGGACATAACAATAGGAGGAGACAAGAGACAGGAGGATAAATAATAGTAATAAGCCTGGTTATTTATTGTGCTTCTGTTGCTGGGAAGGTGTCTGTGAAATAGTAGTGTGGGCAGGGTGATGGGAGGACAGGTGCAAAACATACAGCCCTGGGGATGAGAAGAGAAGAATGATGGAGGCAAGGTTGGGAGGAGGAGAGCAGGAAGTATGCTACTGAACAGGTAGGATGTAAGAATAAGTAGAGAACAGTAAATATCAACATAACTTGTCAAGTAACTGCAGCTGGAGGACTTGGAGCCCAGGGCGCAGATGTGAAGAAATGTAACTGACACAAAAAGGCTCTTGAAGTTATATCTCCTTTGATGTTGGGGATTTAAAAGTCTACCTTCAGTGCTCTTGCTGATAGTGCCCGTGTATGTTGGGAGACCAGGTGGTCCTGGTGGGGGCATGCACCAGGTCCGTTTCCCCAAGCAGATGCCCTCTAGCTCTTGTTGGTGTTGAGCTGGAAAGAAAGGGGGAGGAAGGTTGGCTGTCACTGCCTGGCTCCTCTGCTACTGCCATCACCTCCCTCTGCTGCTGTTTTATCATCACAGAACCCAAAAATTAGCTGTAAATGATTGAGAGAACTCTGATGTTTATTTCCCCTCCATGTGAGTATAGTGGTTTATTGCCATTCTCCAACAGATTGTATCAGGTATTTCAGGGGAGATTCTTGTCTGTAGCTGACCAGTGAGTCCTGAAGCATGAGTGATAACCTTTCCAATTTTTTTATCCTAGCTAGTGTAACAGCAGATATTCTACATGAGGCAATGAGTTCTACAGATTAGAGACTGAGTTAAAAATGATCTTTCAAGGAGTGTTCTTTTTTCCCCCTTGATAAATAGCAGCGCCGCTTTACCTTGACTATCTGCTTTTCAGTTGGCGTCTCCGATCTTTAGCCCATCTCTTATTTCTTTTCTCATTTCAAAATTCAATAATCCTACTCTTGCAATTCCTCCAGGTATGAAAATCTTCTTTCCCCTACATCTGATCGTTTTTTTCCTTTTCTTTCTGTGATATCTTTTGATATGGTGATGAAAACAGAGCAATATTCGGCATGAGGACCTGTGAGAAAAATATATGCCATAATATTTTTCCATATTCTCTCTTTAATGCAGCCTAACATCTTATTCGCTTTCTTGACTGCAACTGCACATTGAGCAGAGGTCTTCATCGAGCTGTCCATGGTGATGCCTACATCGTCTCCTTGAGAGATAACAACTAATTCAGAACCCATCAATGTGTATGAATGGTTAAAATTATTTCCAATATTCATTACATTGCATTTGTTTCTGTTGAATTGTATCTGCCTTTGTCTTGCCCAATTATAAAGTTTGTTAGTTTCTTCTGGCATTCACCATCCTCCCTAGTGTTGGCAAACCTAATGTACATTGACAGCAGTTTTTGCCACCATGCTATTCACTCAATCTTCAGCTCACAAACATATACCACCATTCTTGCCAGTAATCGCCGTGGCATGCCCCATTAGCTTCAGTTTATGTGCAGACTTGATAATTTCTTCTTGTTCTTTATTTCCTGGCTTTTATCCTTCTAAGTTATATTTTCTTACTGGTTCAATTGTGATAGCAAAGAAATCATCGAGTCATGACCTTGTCCCATCTTCCTGAATTCATATGTATATTGCAGTCTTCATTGGTTAAAATATCTTCGTGTTTTATTTTTAAACTGAAAACCAAATTCCTGATCCTGCATCTCTTTCCGAAAATATGAAAATTTCTTAGATAATTTCCTTTGTGCTAGCAGCATCTCCCACAATTCTGGATATCTGGGCTGCTCTCTCTCTGAGGCTCACGGAAATGGATCAGTGTTTTGGCATTACATGGTCTGGCCATACCTCTCTGCTCCTGCTTGCTGCCAGATGAGTTATTCCCAAGATGTGAAAGCTGCGTAACATTAACAAACATTCCAGAGATGATAAAATAACTATGTACATTAGACCTAGGAAGATGGTAATGATTCCATTTAATATCTGACTGACTCATGAGCCATCCGGGGGCATAGGATTGTGGGAGACTACTAGTAGAAAGGAAATCATCAGTTAGAAATTTCTGTACTGCAGACCAGAGTCTCCCACAATTCTGGACATCTGGGAAATAGCAAGCAGTGAAGGGAGGTAGGGAGAGTTATGAAATAAAAATTTGGTAGCAAGGAAGTGCGTGAGCTCACTCAAAATCTGTACTATTTTTTAACCACTGCCTGCGGCACCTGTTTTCCAAAGGAAGCCTCTGCAGAAGATAGAAGGTCTACTTTGTCGTGCTTAATGAAGTTGTTAGCTGTAGATCAAGTGGCCGCTTTGGAAATTTCCAAAGAGGACACGCTTGCTCATTCTGCCCATGAGGTTGCTAAGGATCTTGTGGCATGCCCCTTGATCTCCTGGGAGAGTGGCCTCTGGTGATCTGTAGGCTTCCACAATACATAATCTAATCCACCTACTGATGGAGGACTTGGAAGTTCTGATTCCCTAACATTTTGGGTGGAAGGATACAAATAGGGAACCCAGTCATAGATTCGGTATACTTGAGATAGATATTCAATGCTCTTCTCACCTCTAAGGTGGACCACACCTTTTCAGTTGGATATTGTAGTTTTGGACAGAATGAAGGAAACACAACTTCTTGGGAAGTGTGGAAGGAAGAATTTACCTTGCAAAGAAAAGATTCTGATGTCCCTAAGCAACACCTTTGTCCTTGTGGAACACGCAGTAAGGCTCCAGTATAGATAAGGCTGCCAGTTCCAAATGCTCACCTGGCAGACATGACAACTGCTAAGAAACACATCTTAATGGATAAATAAATAAAAGTCAGAGGCTCGAAGGGATGGCTTATCAGAGCCCTCAAAACTAGAAGATGGTCCCATTTTGGGAAGAGTGACTTGACTGCTGGTCTGGTTAATTGGACTGTTTGAAGGAATCTGGCTACCTGTGGATTGTCTGCCAGAGAGCCCAGGGATCATGTGAACAGCAATCTACTAAGAGCAGACATCTGACATGTAATGGTATTGGCCTGAAGGCCTCTTTCTATGCCTTCTTAGAGAAAGTCCAGAATGGTTGGAATGCCTGGGATTTGCATTGTGGTCTTGGCACCAGTTGTTGATTCTGGGCTAGATTGAGGAGTATATTTTTAGTGTTGATACTCTCCTAGATGAAAGCAATGACTTAATTACTATGGAGGACAGATTGAGACCGAGCTGTCAGTTGAAGCCGTTTTGGGCCTGGATTAAGACGAGGACCTTGCGAGAGGATATCCAGTCTCCATGGAAGCAGGAGAGGGTATTCCAGTTTCTGCTCCATCAGTTTGGAGAACCAAGGTCTCCTCAGCCAATGAAAAGTTATCAATATTAACATCACCTGTTCTTGTTTTATTTTCTGAACCTCTTTCCCCAGTAGTGGAAACGTGGAAAGTAGGCTCTGCGGCTAACTCTGCGAGGAGGCCTGTATTCCCATTTACCTGGGATCTACCTCCCTGGTGAAGTATTTTTGTCTCTGTACATTTGTACAATTAGCAAAGTGGTCAGTTGAAGGGAGGCCCAATGTTTTAATGATGAGATCAAAAACTTTCTAATTCAGGCACCAATCGGAGTTGTTGACCCTGTGTCTGCTGAGCCAGGGTGTTTTTGGCTCAGGTCTCCTTTGATGTGGATTGCTCCAAGGGAAAGAGGAACTGTTCCACCCATCTCATTATTTCCATTACTTCTGCATGTAGTGCTGGACTCCTTGTTCCCCTTTGGTTGTTTATACGGGTGACTGTATTCATATTATCTGATTGAACCAGGCTGTGGCGGGCTGGAACCTTTGCAGAGCTCGCTTGACCGCTTTCAGCTCTAGGAGGCTTATGTCTTGAGCCTTTTTCTCCTCATTCCACAGACCCTGGGGTTGCCAGCCCTCTATGGGAGGATTTTGAGGCTTATTCTCAGGAACCTGCTCAGGTTTCAGAGCCAGACAGCTGACCTTCCTCGGTGGAGGAGTCGTCAGAGGACTCCTGGATTTCTTGTGCTTTTTCCTTCCCCCGTTTAGCCTGTTTAGGTTTGTTTTTAATCTTTTTTGTGCACTTTGGGAGCGTAGCTCTGCTGCAGCCTTGGTGAGGCCTTTTGTGGCCTACCTTCCGTCGGGCCTGGAGCCCTCTTGAGGGATCTGTCTCAGAATCCTCCCTGCTGACTCCCATTCCCCCTGGAAGGGTGAGAGGAGTGAACTCCTTGTTATGGGAGGGAGGGGGGCTGATTAGAAGCCCTGCATCTTTCCTCAAGGCACTCAAGACCCACTTGATGACTTGGGGGGAGGACTTGTGACCTCCCCTCTTTGTTCAGCAAGGATCCATTGGGACTTACACCCTGAATGGTCGGGGTCCTCCTTGCATTTGATGCCTCTCCCTGCTCTGCAGTGGGATTTGTGGTCCAGCTCCTCCTCCCTCCCCCCGCCCTTTGGATTCACAGCTGCATCAGTGGATGGGGGACCCCACTTGCCTGTCTGACTTGTAGCCCTGGGACCTAATGGGAGTTAGGGATGGAAGCCTGGGTGCAGGCTGAACACAACTTGCTATCTGTGAGCCTGGGAAGGCTGCCTCGCATATGCAGTCCTGCTTGGATTTGACCTAGTGCTTTCTTGGCTGCTTTGCTATGCCTGTATGGGACAGGCTCAGGGAGGGTTAAACCCCTGTGGATTTAACTGGCCAGGGGAGGAGAAGGAATACTGAGGGACAACACTGCTCCCCACTACCCAAAAAACAGGGCAGAAAAGTTTTAAAATAGGTGTGAGGGCAGAAACAAAAGAAACCACCACTGGCTGCTGCTACAGGAGGCAGAGAATTTGACAGCAAGCAGGAGCAGAGGTGCTGTGGTCAGATTTTGTGGTTCCAAAACACTGATCTGCCTCCATGAGCTACAGAATAGTCCAGATGTCCATTTTGGTGGGAGATGCTGGGCTGCAGAAAACACCAGACTTGTCCAGACCAGATTGAAACTGTAAACACAGCTTGTCATTTACAGGAGCATACTGGAGAACTAATGTAGTGCTAGGCATATACAACAGATGCCTGACTCTGATTTCATTCTTGTGTAACTTCATTGACATCAGTGGAGTTACTCCTGATTTACTCTCCTTTGAGATCAGCTTCAGATCCATTAGAGCTTGGGCTGGGACTTCTTTTGAAGTCTGTGTTGTTTTCTTGTTCTCTTTTGGCTACTTAACAAGCTGAACTTGTTGAAGTCTTATACTTCACTCATTTTGAAAGCAATTAATGAAGCAAAAATTATACCCTCCAGCAGACTCTGTTTCTCCAAGCCCTCCTAATCAGGACAGTGGCTTAACTGGCATAGTGCTGTTTCTGCTGAAGTATGCTAAGCAAATAGATTTCACGCTGTTATTTAAGAAACAGTAACCCATTTCTTTTGCATTTAGTTACTACAGCAAGATAGAAGGAAGAGTGGTCAAAATAGGGAAGTAGTAATAGCTATAAAGCAGAGTGAGGCAGTAACTAGTTGCTAGTTCAACCACAGAACTTGTGCTTTTGGACACAGTGATGTAGCCAGATGTTAGGAAAATCTTTAAAGATATGGGAGGGTGCTTTGCAAAGAATTTTAAGAGAACGTCTCGGTGCACAATAAGTTGATATTGAACTTGCTTTCAAATATCATACATTGGAACATCAAGCTGCAACAATTTAGTATTTCTAATTCCAGCTTAAACAATGGTGAAAAGGAGCAAAAACAGACAAATAGCTACCATAATGTCTAACATAGTTCAAAGTCTACCAGATGTCTGGGAAAAATTATGGCTGGTGATGGTTTGGTACGACAGAAATTTTTTTAATTTAAATTGAAGTAGAATCACAATTCGACCTGGTTCTGTGAATCCCCAGATGGACCCCACAGTTTGTAGTAGAAGATTGATGATGGCCCTTATAATGTATATTTATGGTCATAAAGAAGTTAGTACATTGGGCAACAATTTTGGCAGTGAATTTTACTATGGTTTACTAATTACAGCTTCTGCATATGACTCAGCTTCCAAACTTGTAGCATGCACACCTCTTGTCCTTTATCCCCTATCCAACGCTGTATTTTGTGACAGTTCCTCTGAAGAAAGCTAAAGAAAATAAAATTTATTTTATCTTTTACAGTAGTGACTGTTTTGTTTTCAGGTTGATTTTACTTCCTCAAGCCTCTTTATCTTGTTAAATAGCCTGCCCAGCAGTATTGCTTAGGACACCTTTACCATAGTTGATTCTGATATTGTAATTAAAAAAAAATGCGCACAGGTTAAGAGTTAAGCAAAGGATTTACTAGATTTCAGTCACTTAAGTGATTTTTCTGTTTTATCACATTTTAAAACTCTACTTCAAAAGTGTGCAGTATTATTGTGAGGAAGGATGGTCTAGTGGTTAGGGCACACGCCTGTGAGTTGGAAGACCTGGGTTTAATTTCCTGCTCTGCCAGACTTCCTGTGTGACTTCGAACAGGTCAATCTCTGTGCCTCAGTTTCCTATTTCTAAAATGGGGATAGTACTTCCTTATTATCTCCTAAGGGTGTTGTGAGAATAACTACCTTGAAGCTTCTGGGCACTCAGATAATCTCATGTTGGAGGCATTATGTTGAACAGCATTGGTCCCAGTACAGACCCTTGGGAGAACCCCACTATTTACCTCTCCATTCTGAAAACAGACCATTTATTCCTACCCTTTGTTTCCTGTCTTTTAACCAATTACTGATCCATGAGAGGACATTCCCTCTTAAGCCATGACTGCTGGAACCAGTCACTGGTTCAAATCTGCCCTTGTAGTCATTTCATAGGTGGACATGGGAGGGTATGTAAAATAAGTTAGTGACTGCAATGCCAGTCAGACCAGTGTCTGTATCCAACACCATCACAATTCACACTATTGTTGGTATTTGAGATCAAGCAAAAAAACAGACATGAGACTTTCAACTAGAGGTCCTTGCTCCAGATCAAAGACCCCATGGTGCCCCATTTCTGTCAACAGCTAGCACTTCAGCTGCTTAGACCAGCACCTTTTAAGAGTACTAAATGCTGTTCAGCTCTCACAGCACTCGCTTCTCTTACCTCACCTTTCTGACAGTTCCTTTAGAATTTCTTCCTCTGTCAACATGCCTTAGAGCTTTCAGTGGCCCCCTCCTAGTACATGTTGTCTCCAGGTAGTATTGTCCATTGCCATTCCAGTACCTTACACAGGGAGATCAGAAATGTTTGCATCTGAACATCCACGCTGGTGTCTTGCAGGCAACTCAACTCAGACAGGTTTCAGAGTAGCAGCCGTGTTAGTCTGTATCCACAAAAAGAACAGGAGTACTTGTGGCACCTTAGAGACTAACAAATTTATTGGAGCAGAAGCTTATGCTCCAATAAATTTGTTAATCTCTAAGGTGCCACAAGCACTCCTGTTCTTTCAACTCAGACAAAAACTGAACTCAGCTTTTCCACCCTGACTCTTCCCTCTTCTCCATTAGCTCCCTATTCAATGGGCACACAACCTTGGTTTCATTTTTTTTATTCCTCCCTCACATAGCTGTTGCCACTAAACCCTGCTGGGTTTAACTCTACATTTCCAGACTCCATCCATTCTTGTCTGGTCCCACCACTAAAAGTGTCATTCAGGCCCTTGTCCTTTATCCTAACTATTGTAAATTCCTCCCCACTCTGGTCTCCCTTAACTTTCACAGCCACATTTTTAATGGTATCTGTGGGGTTTGTTGCTCTGACTATAGCCATGTTCAGCTTTTCCAGTATCTTCACTGCCTTCTGCATCATTCTTACCCCAAAAGACCAGTCTAAGTTCTCACTTACCTCATCTCTCATTCCCCCACTCACTCCACCCAAGCAGCACAGCTAAAGTGTCCCTTTCATGCAGTCTCTCATTTGTCTCTTTGCTTAGCCTCTTAAGTATTAACTTAGAGCTTGATTGTAAATGTGAGTAAATCATCAGAATCAAGCCCTGCTACTGTCAGCTCTTCAGGAAAAGTCCACATCTCATTTGTCTTGAAATATCATGCTAATTTCCCCCTAGTGTCTTGGCTTTTGATTTTGTGTATCATTCCAAATGTCAAGGCATGTGTTTTCTTACAATGAGTCAATTCCCTAAATAAGTACTGAATGTTGAATCCAGTGCTCAACTTAAAAATGCCATCTCAGCTTTTCTGTGTAATCAACCGGATGAGGTCGCTGCACTAACACCAGCATCACTAATATTTTCAAAGTTGTAGAGCCTTTAGTGCTAACATATTGGTAAACAGCTGAGAATTATCTTTTACCAACATCAGCAATTCCATTATACTTCTCGAATGTGTAAGTACTTATCACTTCCTCTACTAAGCTTTGATGATTAATGTATAGACCTATTTTAACATTTTCAGCCAGGTTCCAACTATTCATATTTTTTAAATGCAAGTTTTGTCACAGCCATGCAAGACTGTACTGTAGCATCTCACTAATAAGACTGCACAAAAAGATTAGATATATTACACCACAATGTGCAATAGAACAGACTTGGCTAAATGTGAGTTAACAACAAAGAAGAGTCAGAGGGATAACTTGGGTGACAACAGAAATTGCACCCAGTGCCATCTATCTGCCTGATTTCTGATCTTATGCTCATTGTGACACTAGAGAGAGACGCTATTATTTTTTAAAATCGCCTGTCCTGGTTAAAGGACTAGCTGCACCTCTTTCCTGTCTTGTCTCTGACAGCACTCTTCTCGGTTATTGGGTCTTTTGCCTTAACCTAGCTTGGGGTGGAATCTGATGACTTTTTTACATTTAGATCCTATTTATACCAACCACTTATCACTCTGCAGGTCTGACTGGGTTTTAGGTACTTGTAGCTCCTCCCTTCAGGAACCTGTGACATTAAGAAGGATGTTGGTCAAAGTATTATTTAGCAGTTGGAAGAAAAAACATTAGAGAAAAAATATTTTAAAACAAATAGCCAACCTGCATATTTAGTCTCAGTTTAGGGAGAAACAGGCTTTTATCTTATCTAATTTGTTACAGGAACAAAACAATCAATTTACATTCTCCCAGCCAGCCCGCATCCTTGTGTGTGTGTGTGTGTCTCTGGCACTGTCGCCTAACAACCCTTAAAAGTAAGCTGTTAGACAATTATTAGAAAGGGACTCCTCTCTCTTTTCTAGGGGGGGCAAGCTCTGCTGCCCAGACTCAGCCCAGGGTGAAATGTCCACTGTGACAAAGCTCTGTCCTTGTCTCCCTGGGTCCCGCGTTTCCTGGCGGATTTCGCTAGCCTCAGAGGCTCACTATGACCCTCCACTTAACCCTTCTCTCTCTAGAGACAAGGGTCATAGTCTACTGAGCCATTTTCATCATAAGCCAGCGAGGGAGGTGAGAAGCTATCCTCCCTTGCACAGTCTCTGTTGTCTCCCAATCTCACTGATTAATCAGGGGGGAAGCCCAGGGCCCCTAATAGTATCAGTTATGGTAGCTGACCTTTTAGGAATAGGACATGTACAATTCGCTGGGCTACTTCCTCAAGCTCCACTTCACCCTTACCTCAGGGCCTCCTTCCTTGTGCCTAATATGGTGTATATAGCTCAGTCTCTCCAATAGCGCAACTTCCTCTCTCAGCTCCTGACATGTGCACCCACCTGACTAGGAGGCTTTTAACTAGTTTCAGCCAGCCCGTTTGGCTTCAGGTGTCCCAATCAACCTAGCATCCTCCCTGTCTTCTGGAAAGCTCTTAATTGGCCCCAGGTGTCTTAATTGACCTGGAGCAGCTGCCATTTACTTATCCTGGTACCAGGGATTTGTTTAGCCTGGGGCTAATATATCTATCTCCCACTACTTTTCTATAGCCATCTGGCCTTGCCCCGTCACACCACTTATGTATATAGTATAGACACACCACACTAATGAAATATCAGTAGTTAGAACTCCCCCATTTCCACTTGGAACCTCCATGAAATAACTTCATCTCTGTATCAGCTCTCCTCCTCATCTGTAAAACTGGGTATTACTATTTATCTACCACACAGGTTTGTTGTAATAATTAATTAAAGATTGCATAGCAATGTTAAGTGTTTTATTATAGTCTCTGTGTGCACTCACTCTTCACAATGAATTTAGAAAATGTTATTTTTCCTTTCACACATCTGCTTCTTCCCTTATCTTTCCAAAAATAAGATAGATTGGTGGGGAAGCTCATGCATATATGATTCTATCATCCTGTGGGAAACCCCACAGCATTCTTACTAACTGATAATACTATCTTTACTTCAAAGTAAAGAAAGGACCCAAAATATTCTTAGTTTTTATTATAGGGTGATGTCCCTAAGTGAACTGAAAGCCTCAGTGATCAAAATATTAAGTATACAAAATATTTTCTTGTACAAATGTGGATGGTGTCATTAGGTGCCACTAACAGAGTAAAGCAATCTTTCCAACTAATATTACAGCAAACTAACACAAGGGAACTTAAGTACATTACATTCAAAATTAAATAAAAAAAGCTTTTAATTTTTTCAAGCATTGAGAGTGGAAAAATATTTATAAATAGGAATTTAAAATACACGAATTAAAAATGAAGAATCCCCTCAGTGTATTCTGGATCTTTTGACTTTGCTTGTTTCTCCAGCTGCTTTTCTCTTCTGAGATAATCCAATTCCCAGTTCTTTGCTATTTTGAAGATAAGAAACAGCTTCTGGCAGACAGTAACACTCCATGGGAGGAGGAAGCTCCTTCGAAAGAAAAAAAAGTGTTTTAATCTAATTATTTGTTTAGCTAGACAGTATTAGAAAAAGTATTCTACTTGACCCTCCTTTAGCAACCAACTAAAATTAAAAAAGGTTTATCATTCTGGAACACTGTATGAAGGAGTTATTAAACATATCCTGATTCTGACACATTGAGATAGTTGCCCATTAAAGTGTTTTAAACTTTTCTGGTTTGGCATGGAATTATCAAAAATTTATCAGAATCCTGATGCAAAATGCATCCCATGTAAATCTCAAGGTCACGCACACATAATTTAGTGTATTCCAAAAACCATCTAGCTAAAACGATACTATATATCCAGTTCCAACACAAACAAACCTCTGTCATTTTTTAGTGGCCAGAATTGGAAACTCAGCACAAGAATATTAACATTAAATCTTATGATCAGAATTATGGGCAAACCAGCTATAAAGGTCTAAAATTGGAATATCAATATCAAAGTCTGTGTTTCATTACAAGCAAATGCCAGGTACCTCTCTGCCCTACTTACAACAGTTTTCATTCAATGAATCAATGAGTGAAGTAGTGTACTTTAATAAGCATGATTTACATATATTTGATGATCTAGATGTGGACTGTTTTCTTCAAAGCAAACAAATGGTACATAATGCCCCTAATATGCACACCTGTATGAGGTAGTCAGCAATGTATTCTGGTTTCAAGCAGTTCACTCCTTGGGCAGCAGCCTCCAGTACATTAACCCTGGCATCATCTGGTTTCAGTTTACTGAAGTCAGCAAAAAGGTGAGTAGCTTCTTTATAGAGAAGCAGAGAATGACCTGGCAGCACCTACAGATTTAAACACAACAGAAAGTACTTTTTATTTTTGTTTTTTATTGCTCTTGGCAATTGAGTGTACATGTTTTACAGATTATGTATTCACTAATCTCCAGCACATTAAACAGTATGTCATCAGAAAACTGGGTACCAAGTATAGCCTCATTCTACAAAATAAATTTACATTCCAATGAGAGGAAGGATGGTCTTCTTGTTAGAGCAATAGACCGGGACCCAGAAGCTATAGGTTCAAATCCCATCACTGCCACAGACTTCCTGTGAGACCTTGGGAAAGTTACTGACTCACTCTCTGCCTCAGTTCCCCATCTGTAAAGGGGAACATCACAACTTCCTTTGTCTGTCTTGTCTATTTAGATAATAAGCAATTTGGGTCAAGGACTGCCTCTTCCTACTTGCATTTACAGTGCCTAGCACAACAGGGCCTCTTGGTATTACCGTTACATGAACGACAACCCAACAAAACACCAGTGTCTATAAAAATGATCTAAAAGTCATTTACTGAATGGAATTTTTTTTTTTTAAGTCACATACCTTTGCTCCTCCTGATTGAAGAAGACGTTTGAATCCTGCTTCCTTGGTTTGGTCAACATTCAAAATCACTTTCCAGCCACTAAATGCCCCCTACATAAAAGATCCAGTTTTTAAAAAGAAAAGCTATTTATCCCCCTCAAGAACATTCTGTAAGGCAAGATTTATCACATACACACCATCCAGAGTTTTTTTTTTAAACAACAGCAGGGATGTACAACATGCAAGCCAGGGGTCAAATTCCAGCCCACAGGATCATACAACATTTCACCTTGCTAGCCACTCCTACTTAACTGTAGGATGAAAAAACAAAGCTGATTAACTGCAGATGAACTCTCACATCAAGTATATTCTAGTGTGTTTCAGGAAGACTTGGAGTACAACAAAATATTAGGGTCATGTGCATTCACTTATTTAAAATGTCAATGTAAATATATATGCAAATCAAGCACAGCCTTAATGCTCCGGGCAAGATGCTAATAAGCACCCCTTAACCCATAGTTTCTGTGGTCATGCACCCTTATTTTACAAGATGCAATTCTCAGTCCTTTACTGTGTGTTTGATTTCTAAGGGTAAAAATTCAAAGGTGCCTAGTGACTTAGGAGCCTAAGTCCTATTTTTAAGAGTGATTTAGACACTTGAGACGAAGTCTCCTTGAAAGTCAATGGAACTCCTTAAGCTCCTAAGTCATTTAGGTACCTATGAAAATTTTACCCTAAGACAACTGCGTGATGGAAAATACAGATGTCGGAGTTCTTTAGAATCATAATGCTAAAGGGTAAAGACCAATTTAATGATTCAGTAATGTTAAAAAACAATGAAGCAGTTATTTAAGTATTAGGATATCCAGTTTGCCATGCTAGTTAGCAATGGGAGTTATTGCAGTCACCAGTGCCAAGAGGGGACAAAGACCATTAATTAATCTTCAATGCTAATAATGTTCAATGCTGACAATAAAAGCTTTTAGGAAATAGATTGATTACATTAGTATGGATCCAGCTAGGATGCTTTGTTTTTACAAGAACAAAGCAGGTAACCCTCTCTTGGCACAAAGACTCCGGGTTTCTTGGAGCACATCCCCATTACAGAAGCTCCCTCCCAACATCAAGAAGTTACACTTCATATGTTTCCAAATACCTCAATGATGCCAGTTTCCTGCCTCCTTTTATGGATTTTTTTCCTCCATCTCATGGCTGCAAGTGCTAGTTTCTTTTGGTTTACATTGATTCCAGACAAAACATTGAGTATGGAGTTACTTCCCCATTCATAATCTTCCTCCTAGAACAATTATAGCCACACCAAAAGCAAGAAATTAAAAAATAAAAACAACAAGAACGCACTAGCTTTGCACATCACTTTTACCTGACAGAAAGCACAGTAGTAGTTATTAAAATTAAATACAGTGGCTCTTGGTTAAACATCTTTAAATTTTTCCTATGTGTACAGAGCCTCTCACTTAGATTTTAAATAAACTCAGTCTTTTCATTACGCTAAATTATCTTCAGGCAGCTATGGTTCCTCTTGTGGTTAGAGACAATGGAATGTAACCACTAAGCAACAGAGAGTGAAAGCGACCATCACTTACTCACAATCCCCTTCTCTCTCTCTCTCTGAATTTAATAAGATTTCTTCCTGAACAATACAAGTGATTTATTTTTACTCATACAGATAAACAAAACAAAATAGAAAAAAAAAACTTTGTAAGTCAGCCCAGTCAATAGAGCTGTTAGACCCCGGAGAACTATGAAATGGAGACTGGTTTCCCACGGAGTACCCAGACTATATTAAAGTGGTGACATGCTGTAATAAATAACAATAATTAATTAAGTGGTTTCAGAGCTCTACTGAAGATACCAAAGGTATTTTAGAGTATCACTAATTATAGATTCAACTGCATATAAAAAAAAATACAAAACTGAAAAGAAAGATGGGGAGGAGTTTGGTTATTTAGACTGTTCTGCTTATAAACTATAGAATCAGGATTTAATTCCTGGCATAACAGGATCCATCACATTATTTTCAATTGTACTTATAATTTACATAAGGCACTTCACCCTAAATTATCAAAAGTGACTAGTGATTATGGGTGCTTCAGCTGTTGGAGGACCAACCTCAGACACCTGGAAAGGGACTGATTTTCAGAGGGAGGCTGAGTGCTGAGCAATTTCTGAAAGTCAGGTCTCTTCAATATGCCAAGAACTGGGCACTGAAAGTCACTTGTCCCTTGAGAATTTTGTCCTTACGTTTCTGCCATTAGCTGTAGTGGAGACTTTAAAAGCATTTTATTACTAAAATTAAAACAGCAAAGGAGATGTAACAACTGATATATCACTAATAGAGTTATGAACCTGTACAAAGCAGCCAGCTGCTCTGCAGGCCTCCAGGTAGGAACGATGAAGCACCCACTTTCCAGCAGCCATCGAGGCCAAGTATTTCTCATTTCGAAGAGGATGTCCCACAATGATGTGCGTACAACTTGGGTCAAAGCACTGCTTCTCAAGCACCAGTCCACCTTGAAACATGGGAGTGAATGTGATTCAGGTTATTTAAAGTTAGTGTCTACAACAGAAACGTCAATTGAATAAATGAACTATTTTATAATTCATACTTAAACTGCAATGCTATGCACACTAGAATCTAGGCAGAAAGCCTTGCCATGTATTGATATAACCTCATGTACAGAAGACAAAGGGGGAGCTAGATCTGATAGAAGGCAGTGCTATTGTAACACAGGCATAGCTACTTAGGCATTGGCAAGCTTGAGGCACTAGTGGCAGAAAAAAGCCTTGGGAACTTAGAAGAAAGGGGAGAAACACCAGTGGAGAGCAGGCAGGCCCTTAAGCAAAAAGAGGGAATCTTCTGCATTAGAATCCCACCCAGCAAATCCCAGTAGATGAAAAGCGTCACCCTTTTGGTGGCAAGTTAAGCAGCTATGTGGACACAAGAACAAATGGCTATAAACTTGCTATCAACAAGTTTAGGCTCAAAATAAGACAAAGGTTTCTAACCATCAGAGAGGAGTGAAGTTCTGGAACAGCCTTCCAAGGGAAGCAGTGGGGGCAAAAAACCTATATGGCTTCAAGACTGAGCTTGATAAGTTTACGGAGGGGATGGTATGATGGGACTGCCTACAATATACAAAAACCTGTAGGAGAACACTTCAACCTCCCTGGACACACAATAGCAGATTTAAAGGTAGCCATCCTGCAACAAAAAAACTTCAGGACCAGACTTCAAAGAGAAACTGCTGAACTTCAGTTCATCTGCAAATTTGACACCATCAGCTCAGGATTAAACAAAGACTGTGAATGGCTAGCCAACTACAAAAGCAGTTTCTCCTCCCTTGGTGTTCACACCTCAACTGCTAGAAGAGGGCCGCATCCTCCCTGATTGAACTAACCTCGTTATCTCTAGCCTGACTCACTCTTGCTTGCATATTTATACCTGCCTCTGGAAATTTCCACTACATGCATCCGAAGAAGTGGGTATTCACCCACAAAAGCTCATGCTCCAATACGACTGTTAGTCTATAAAGTGCCACAGGACTCTGCTACAATGGCATGCAGCCCATCGGTGACTGCCAGTAGCAAAAATCCCCAACTGCTGGAGATGGGACACTAGATAGAGAGGGCTCTGATTTACTAGAGAATTCTTTTTCAGATATCTGCCTGGTTGGTTTTGCCCACATGCTCAGGGTCTAACTGATCGCCATATTTGGGGTCTGGAAGGAATTTCCCCCTACGTCAGATTGGCTAAGCCCCTGGGAGGGTTTTGTCTTCCTCTACAGCATGGGTCATGGGTCACTTGCAGGTTAAAAGTAGTGTAAATGGTGAATTGTTTGCAACTTGAAGTCTTTAAATCATGATTTGAGGATTTCAGTAACTCAGCCAGGTTAAGGTCTATTTCAGGAGTGGGTGAGATTCTGTGGCCTGCAATGTGCCAGAGGTCAGACTAGATGATCACAATGGTCCCTTCTGACCTTAAAGTCTATGAGTCTATGATAACTTCAAATAACGAAAACAGTGATAGAACCACAAGGCCTTGTTTCAGTGCTAAAAAGGGTTTACTTTTTACCTCAGGGTAACTAAGGTGCATGAGCTATTCTGAGGTTCAAAAAAAAACCCAGGGAAGATAAGGCACTTCAAGTTTTTGTAAAGTACGCGAGGTCAGCAATACACCCCTGCCTGGGCTTGACCTCACCTAGTTTATCGCACAGTAAAACTCAAGTGCCTTGTCTCCACTGTGTTTTTACAATGTGATAGCTAACACATATTATCCCCGGTGGTAAACACACCTTACCCTTCTTTGCCAGTGAAGACCTAGCCAAAGCGTCTTGAGAGCTACAGGTCTGAAACCTTAGGTTTATATTAGCAATGCATTAACCGAGGCCCCTTTTCAGCCCCCAAAAGCCCTAAACAAACTTTAAAAGTTTTACAAACATCTGGCTACCTAGTTCCTCAATCAGATGGCAGTAATCGATTCGCTCTTGAGGATTAAGTGAAGACAGCTGGAATTTGCGCTGTTTTTCTGGTTCTTCATCAACCTTCTCATCTACTGTAATAGCCTAGAATATGACAAAAGTTATAGGGAGAGTTGCATAGAAAGATAAATTCAATACTCAACTATTTCTCTCAAGTATTCAAGGTTTTCCTACATCGGGTTTTCTGTTTGAGAAGGCAGGAACCAGACCCATCAGTCACTAGACAAGGGTTTGGCTTCCAGTCAAGCAGACTGCATCCAAAGTTGAAAAATAGATAGTATTCTAATATTCAAAGTCAATCTAACACTTAACCTCCCCTGGTTCCCATCTACAGGGCACAGTTTAATAAATAATCTGTCATGAAAAGCAACAGAGGGTCCTGTGGCACCTTTAAGACTAACAGAAGTATTGGGAGCATAAGCTTCATAAGCAAGAAGTTTGCATCTGAAGAAGTGAAGTTCTTACCCACGAAAGCTTATGCTCCCAATACTTCTGTTAGTCTTAAAGGTGCCACAGGACCCTCTGTTGCTTTTTACAGATTCAGACTAACACGGCTACCCCTCTGATACTTGTCATGAAAAGAACGTTTTCATTTTAATTGATGGAATGGCAAGCTGGACGCACTGATAAATCAAATATCAAATGTACCTCCCTATCTCTCTTATCCAAGCTTTCTATTCCTACAGTGGGATTCTATCAGCAAGCAAAATCCCAGAGGGCTTCAAGTAATTATTTAAAAGTCAAAAATGTGTTAACAAAAATTGTCAGGGCTACCACAGCATGTAATATCCTGCTGCCAAAGGTAGCATCCAATGAAGCCTATACATCTACCTTATAGCATGTCCAGGGTGCTTCCTTCCAGACCTCTTCATAAATGGATTTTTCAATCTAGGAAACTGATACTGCCTTTTTTTGATGGGCTTTGATCTTTCCTGTCAAGTTGTGCTCCTTCACTTTTCATATGCTACTTTTTTGCCTTTACTGCTGGATACTATAGAAACAACCCAATGATATTCTCACCAGGTAGTTTTTAAATTGATTTGTATGCGCACCTTAGGTTTTGTGCAGAATGATGTGAGAACTCTCTCCAGAGATCTGTGAAATACCATATCCCTGCTGCTGGAATCCCTCAGCACCAAAAGTGTCTGTTCATTTCTGTACCACTGCTAGGGTCACCTGGTTGGGGATCATTCCTCTTATCCCATGCCACAATCTGCACTGTGCTAGTGGGTGCACATGCCAAAACTGAAGGAGCTGTTGCTACCGGTCCATATTAGGGGGTTAGTGCTGAGGTTTAAAATCTGGAGTAGAAGGGCAGAGGCTGCTCCTGAGAACAAAACAATGCAAATTGCACCTGCCCAGCAAGGTTATAGGGGAGATGAGCATAACAGGCACCTTTTCTCCTTGGGCTTCTGCTCATCATGGGGTGGTGTCCATAGTAGGCTGTAGAAGGAACACAGTGAAGAAAAACCTGAAATCAACTTGGCAATTTAATAGTTTTTCCTCTGTGTTCTGTAGTTTGCAAGGAGAAGGTCTGGAAAGTGCCTACAGCTGCCGCCAGGAAGATCAAACTGAGTTTTCCAAAAGGGAAAAACTAAGCCACTGCCTGATGACTGACAGGTCTGGTCTTGCCTTAAAGTGAAAAGTAGAGGGGAAACCCACTGTAGGACTGGCAAGCCTGGATGAGAGAAAACAGTTACACATTCCAAACAAAGCTTATTTACTAGTGTGAGGAAATATGCCACTGAACACACATGCCTGTTGAAAAGATCAAGCAACAAAATTATACAAAGGACTAGTGAACTAAAGGCTAGATTAATTTTCCATAGCCCTTTGTGATTTTGCTACAGATTTTCAGCACTGACAGCTTATTTTTAAGTATTAATGTAACATACTATCCAAGTGATTAATCAGAAAGAACTTCTCCCCATTATTATGTCATTAAAGAGACTAAAAAACACAATAGAACCCCAAGCCTGACCCCACCTCTGCCTACAAAAATCTATTTCATTAACACGACAAGAAAGTGGATTAAATGAGGTTTTTCTTTTTGAAAGTAACATCCTCTAGAGCAGCGGTCTCCAACCTTTTTACACCCAAAATCACTTTTTGAATTTAAGGTTAACGCAGGATCTACCCCACCCCTTGCCTGAGGCCCCGCCTCTTCCCCAGAGCACCACCCCACTCACTCGCTCTCCCCCAGCCTCACTCACTTTCACTGGGCTGGGGTTGGTGTTCAGGACAGGGTGTGGGCTCTGGGCTGGAGCCGAGGAGTTCGCAGTGTGGGAGGGGGATGTGGGCTGAACCTGGGGCAGAGGATTGGAGTGCAGGAGGGGGGAGGTGTGCAAGTTCTGGTAAGGAGTTTGGGTGCAGGAGGGGGGTCAGGGCTGGGAGTTGGGGGCACTGGCTCTGGGAAGGGTGTCAAGGCTCAGGGTTGGGGTGCAGGAGGGAGTATGGGGTGCTGGCTCTGGGAGGGGGCTCAGGGCTGGGGTGCGGCCTCCTGCCAGGCTGCACTTACCTCCGGCGGCTCCTGGTTGGTGGTGTAGCGTGGCTGCCACTAAGGCAGGCTCCTTGCCTACCCTGGCTCCACGCCACTCCTGGAAGGGGTCAACGTGGCCCTGTGGCCCCTGGAAGGGCAGGGAGGTGGACGGCAAGTGGCTCCATGCGCTCCCCCTCTCTGCAAGCACCGTCCCTGCAGCTCCCATTGGCCACAACTCCCCGTTCCTGGCCAATGGGAGCTGCAGGTGCGGTGCTTGCAGGCAGGAGCAGTGCACGGAGGGAGATCCTGTCCCCCTGCCTCTGGGCTACATTGGCCACTTCCAGGAGTGGCATGGGGCCGGGGCAGGCAGGGAGTCTGTCTTAGCAGCAGCCCCATTGTGCTGCCGGAGATCATGATCGACTGGGAGATCCTGTAGGATCAACCAGTCGATTGCAATTGACCGGTTGGTGACCGCTGCTCTAGAGAACAACAAAAAGGATAAAAGGTTTAGAAAACATGATCTATGGGACAAGGTTAAAAAAACTGCCATGTTTAGTACTGAGAAAAGAAAACTGAGGGGAGACTTTTGATAACAGTTCTTAAATATATTAAAGGGCTATTCTGAAGAGAACAGTGGTTCAACTGTTCTCCATGTCTGCTGAAGATCAGATAAAAAGTAATGAGCTCAATCTGCAGCAAGGGAGATTTAGGTTAGCTATTAGGAAAAATTTTCAACCTATAAGGGTAAAGTTCCGGAATAGGCTTACAAGGGAGATTGTGGAATTCCCACCACTGTAGGTTTTTAAGAACAGGTTGGACAATCATGTGTCAGGGATGGTCTAGGTTTACTTGGTCCTGCCTCAGCACAGGGGGATGGACTAGATCTCTTGAGGTCTCTTCCAGTCCCACATTTCTATGACCTGCTCAGAGTCTCTTGGGAAAAATGAAAAATTTGGAACTAAAAGTACACTGCACAGAAATTATCCACTTTAAAACCTGTTAAACTGATGAATACATTTACTGTCAGCTTCAAATATTAGATGCATTTTAATAGTACACTGGGCCATTTCTTCACAGTGCAAGTATGATCCTTTAAAAACAAGTATGCTGCTATAACAAACCTTTTCTTTGGGCTGTGGAGCCACAGGAGGGTTAGCCAGCGGGAAGGCAATGCTGGGAGCTTGCGGTGTGGGGATCACTTGATCATCTTTTACTGGGGTTTCTGGATCACTATATGTTGGATGCTTTGGGACCTCTGCCACACCTGTGTCCCCAGAATCATGAACAGCTGTGGATAGTAATTCACTGTTGCTTGATTTTGTTTGACTGAATTATAACTATGATAACACTGAAAAAAGTATATCTCAAATGAATAAGAAACAAATGCCATCACAACATTTATTCTGCATTTTCAGAAACAACTGCTTACTTCCTGTCTTAAAATTTACATCCTTTAATCACAAGGCAGCAGTTGAGCTGTTACAAGCCTCATGTTTTTTTACTATCTTGAGGCTTCTCTACTTCCCAATTGATTCCTTAAACTAACTTGACATGAAGCACTCAAATTGGCCACAGAAGGGGACTGCACCGATTTAACTAGTTTAGTTTATAAACCAATTTCATTAAATCACTACAACTTTCTCCTATAAGACTGGGCCAAAGAAACCATCCTCCAGGTAGGCTGCTTCAAACAGAAAAGCTATAAGGGGATGGGAGGTGTCAAGAATGCCCCTTTCCCACACACACACCAAGCTATAGAAAGCTTGCTGCAGGAAGCAAAAGGAAAACAATGTTTGTGGAAGTCAGCATGACAGCATGTGAAGTATTCATGCATGGTCTGACAATGAGCACAGGACTGAGGAGTCAGGAACTTCTGATTTCTAATCTCAGCCCTGTCAATGACTCAAAGGGCAAATCAATTCACTTCTGTTCCAGTTTCCCAATTCGTAAAAAACAGCAGTAATATCTGTGTGTCACAGGTTTTTGAGGATTAATGTTTCCACAGCACTTTGAACATGTAAAGCATTACGTGAGTGATAAACATCACTACTGATCTCTTCCTGCAGAGCCACCTGATGGCTGCCCATCTGCTAGCTTCTACTCTCCTCTCATCCAGCTCTTTTTTTCCTGCCATCAAGAGGAGAGTGGAAACCAGGAAGCATCTCTTGTCCATCCATATCAGAGCAGAATATTCACTGCTTCTTAAGTAGAAGGAGTGGAAGGAAGGGGAAACAGAATAGATGACTCAGCTGTGCTTCTTCTCCACTCCTAACAGCAGGATAAAAAGGCTTGCAGGGATAGAAGAAAATAAGCTAGGCAGGGCACGTAATCAACTGCATTTGTAAAGACAGCAAGAAAGGTAGAATAATAACTTGACTGCATCCTGATCCACTGATCTCCCCAGCAGACTTGCTGCCAGATTTTTATGGGGCTCCTGGGCATTGGTGATCCTTCTCCTACACCTCCATTCTTACCCAGCATTGTGGATCTTCTTCAACTGCTATTAAAAAGCTAAGATTTTACAACAGTTAAGCATATTAAGAGGCTCAGTGTAGTTATTTGCTTTAGTAAGTACACATCTTAAACTCGAAACCTATAGTCGTAAGTTGAATCAAGGTGTCAATGTAGAGGCGCCATAAATGCTGTTCGTCATAACTCAAATGTCGTAAAGTCGAGGACTGCCTGTACTATTCAACATGAATAAGGGTTCCAGAATTGGGGCCTAAAAGAAAAAAGCTTATCTTTAGGCAAGGGCTGCCTCCAAACTGCTTATTGCTGTCAAAAAGGTGCATGGGGTCTTTCTGGAGGAAGAGCAGAGTTAAAAAATAATAATAATTATTTACCTTTTTAAAACAAGACTAAGAATGGTCTGTCACTCATCCTGAGCCTCATTATTAAAAAGGGGAAAAAAGTTCAGGTCACTTAGAGAGATCACAACACACGAAAGCTGACAAAGATCCATGTGTTGGTCAATAGTGTTGGTTTTTTTGCTTCTAGAATACCACTGTATCATAATAAATAATCCTAACTACACTCCAGCTCAAACATGTATTTCTCTCCTTACCTAATTCAACAACTTCTCTATCAACGAAGGATTCCCTGAAAGGGGAATCATTCATGTTATTTACATCAGTCTGAATTTGTTCAGAGTACTGTGAAGGACTATTGGGCCACTGTAAGTTGCTGACAAGCCTTGCTCTCTCCTCTCTTGCAGTGGGGTCATCCCAGACAATCTGCTCATTTTGTGATGGCTCTGTGTTTATGTCCATCACTGCTTGCCGTGACTGCCTAAGGAACAAAAAACAAAATCCACATAAAGTTTCCTTAAAAAAACAGATGAACTATACTTGAGGGCAAGGACGTATTTATCATCGTGTTAACAATGTACTACACCGGACCCTCGCTAGAATGCGGGGTTCAGGATCCATGCGCGGTACCACATTACTATGGATCCCAATTTAAATATTTAAATTTGGAATCCATCGTCACGACAGCACTATACGCGAATCCGCGCTCTAGCGACGCACGCTCTAGCGAGGGTCCGCTGTACAAATCTTTATTACTGGATAGCACAGTCAGGAGAGAATAAACTTCAATATAAAATTGATAAGTCAGGCAGTTTGACTACCTGGGTATCAGTCAGCACGGCTACAAAAAAGTGACTGTGAACAATACTGGTCATTTTTAGCATGTATCATGCTACTAAGGTGTTCCATGATCAGCATATCCCATTCTTTACTGTCCTTATAGACTTGGTGTACATTTGAAAGTTAAAGAGAGCAATCTTGTTTCTTGGGTGGCAAATATTGGAAATTAATTTCCAATATTTACCAGGAATCAGGCTCTTCATCATTAATTCCCGTCATCTGGTTTAGCCATCAAGTACTTCTCAATTCATCAGAAAACACATGCCCTATATTTTAGATTCTTTTTAGAAACTACTGATAGATCTGAAAGGCAATCTCGCCCATGGTGAATTAACAATGTTTTCATTTTGACTGGAGGTTTTAGCTATATTTTCTACATTCCCACAGTCCAGGGATGGATTTTAAACTGCAACAAGACAGACTTACTTACATTAGTGGCAAAATGCAAGTGTAATACGTGAAAGCCTCATAATCAGAAGTAGTCTTCACATTTGCAAGTGTATAAATGCATAACGAAACAGTGTATTTATAGCTATCGTATAGCAATTGAGATTTGAAAGGTTATTAGTAGGGCTGTCGAGTGATTAAAAAATTAATTGCAATTAATCGCTATGTTAAACAATAATAGAATACTATTTATATGAATATTTTTGTATGTTTTCCATATTTTCAAATATATTGATTTCAATTACAAACACAGAATACAAAGTGTACAGTGCTCACTTTATATTTTTTAATTATATTTGCACTGTAAAAATAAAAAATAGTATTTTTCAATTCACTTAATATAAGTACTGTAGTGCAATCTCTTTATCATGAAAGTTGAATTTACAAATGTAGAATTATGTATAAAAAATAACTGCACTGAAAATAAAACAAATGTAAAACTTTAGAGCCTACAAGTCCACTCAGTCCTATTTCTTGTTCAGACAAACAAGTTTGTTTATATTTGCAGGAGATAATGCTGCCTACTTCTTGTTCACAAATTCACCTGAAAGTGAGAATAGGTGTTCGCCTGACACTATTGTAGCTGGCATTGCAAGATATTTACGTGCCAGATACGCTAAAGATTCAAATGTCCCTTTATGCTTCAACCCACCATTCCAGAGGATTGAAGCATATGCTGATGGGTTCTGCTCGATAAAGATCCAAAGCAGTGCAGACAAATGCGTGTTCATTTTAATCATCTAAGTCAGATGCCACCAGCAGAACGTTGATTTTAATTTTTGGTGGTTTGGGTTCTGTAGTTTCCGCATCGGACTGTTGCTCTTTTAAGACTTCTGAAAGCATGCTGTACATCCCATCCTGATCAGATTTTGGAAGGAACTGCAGATTCTTAAATCTTGGGTTGAGTGCTGTATCTATCCTTAGAAATCTCACATTGGTACCTTCTTTGCGTTTTCTCAAATCTGCAGTGAAAGTATTCTTAAAACGAACAACATGCTGGGTCATCATCCGAGACTGCTATAACATGAAATATATGGCAGAATGCACTAGAACAGAGCAGGAGACATGCAATTCTCCTCCAAGGAGTTCAGTCACAAATTTAATTAACACTTTTTTTTTTTTAAACGTAGTGTTATCAGCATGGAAGCATGTCCTCTGGAATGGTGGCCGAAGCATTAAGGGGCATACGAATGTTTAGCATATCTGGCACATAAATACCTTGCAATGCCAGCTACCAAAGTGCCATGCAAACATCTATTCTCATTTTCAGGTGACATTGTAAATATGAAGCGGTCAGCATCTCTCCTGTAAATGTAAACAAA